TATATCAGTGTGTATATTGAATATATACGTATTCTGAGATGACGGTTCTTTTTCAAATAAGTTGTTGGGGGTGTAGGCTAGTGTAGGCGTCAAAAATTGCCAATAGGTTAGCTGTGTGAGATACATACTTGTCATGTTATAGCCGGTGCACATGTATCTTATATTAGGGTATATATTTTAAAGGAAAACCAAATAAGTACAAACTCCTCGCAACGTGCTACGTTAAGCTTCTTCCTTCACAAATTTTTTTGAAACGTGTACAATCATCTTCATCTATGTTCTTTCGGACAAATTTTCAAAACCAACCTATTTGGACTTTTATTCCCAAAAAACGACCCCATTCAAAAATAATTGCAAAAACCGACCTGGTTTCAGCCTCAGCGCTGAAACCAGGTCGGTTTTTGAAAAAAACTCTCCGAAACTTCACGGGAGTTCGAGTTGAACTCCCGTGAAGTTTTTTGAACTACGAAACTTCACGGGAGTTCAACTCCCGTGAAGTTTCGGAGAGTTTTTTTCAAAAACCGACCTGGTTTCAGCGCTGAGGCTGAAACCAGGTCGGTTTTTGCAATTATTTTTGAATGGGGTCGTTTTTTGGGAATAAAAGTCCAAATAGGTTGGTTTAGAAAAAAAAACGACCCCATTCAAAAATAATTGCAAAAACCGACCTGGTTTCAGCCTCAGTGCTGAAACCAGAGGTCGGTTTTTGAAAAAACTCTCCGAAACTTCACGGGAGTTGAACTCCCGTGAAGTTTTTTGAACTACGAAACTTCACGGGAGTTCAACTCCCGTGAAGTTTCGGAGAGTTTTTTTCAAAAACCGACCTGGTTTCAGCGCTGAGGCTGAAACCAGGTCGGTTTTTGCAATTATTTTTGAATGGGGTCGTTTTTTGGGAATAAAAGTCCAAATAGGTTGGTTTAGAAAATTTGTCCGGAAGAATACAGTATAGTCAGTTACAAGTTTGCCCTTCAAATAAAAATTAAATAAAATTTCTGTTTTCGGAGCATAGAATTAGAAGCGAAGCGCTCCTTAAATTCTCTCAATTATCCGAAAATACGAACTTACACCGCACTTTCTCGCAATTATCCAAAATCCAAAAAACGACGTCAACATCAACCCCTATATAATCTCTCTCTCTCTCTCAATTCTCAAATCCCAATTTCTCAGCAGCGAAGGATGCTCCTTTTTCTCCTCCTCTTCTCTCTCCTCTCCGGAGCTCCTCCCAAAGTACGGGCTGCCTCCAGGCCTCCTCCCAGACTCCGTCGAATCCTTCTCCGTCTCCTCCAACGGCCACTTCACCGTCAACCTCCAGTCCCCCTGCTACATCCACTTCGATTACCTCGTCTACTACGCCGACACCATCACCGGCGTCATCAGGTACGGGTCGATCGACGAGCTGAAGGGGATCAAGGCCAGGAAGTTCCTTGTTTGGTTCGATGTTGACGCGATTAAGGTCGATTTGCCGCCGTCGGATTTTATTTACTTCGGGGTTGGGTGGATTACCAAGAAGCTGAGGGTGGACCAGTTTCAGACCGTGCGTTCTTGTGAGGGGGAGGATTTAAGTGAGGGGATCTCTGAGGTAAGTGAAGAAGTTTTCTTTTTTAGGGTTTATTGATTTTTAAAACCCATTCTCTTGCACTGATTTATTTTTAGACCCAGAATCTGTATGAATATGTTATCAAGTATGGTGAGGTGCTATATAGTGTGATTTAAAATGCCATAATGCAGTTAATACCAGTTAAACTGCTGCGATAAAGGGCTCAACCACATCTACTTCTGTACAAGTTTTGAACTTTATAGGTTTTTTCCCCCGAGTTTTAGGATGATTTTGGCTGTTCTTTTTGTCCCTGATGATGGATAGATAAATAAGCCAGCAGGATTGGATATTTACTTTGAACAAGAAGAAGAGAATGAATCTTCGGCTATACTGAATTTATATTTGTTATCAACATCCCATATATCTTGTAGACGCAGTGAAATTTATGGCTTGAATGGGAAGGTTTTGCTTTGATTCAGTATGGGCCTTATCCACAGATTGATTCCCTTCTGTTGAAGAACTTTAGATAGTTCATGTGTTCTTCATGGCTTGGGGCTGATCTCTGTGACTGCTGGTAGTTGCTAGTAATAGTTTGGATGCGAAAGGCATTGGTGGATGGTGCAGTTCATTTGTTGGATTGTGGCTTCATTTGGTTCTTGACTATTAATGATAGATTACGAGTTGCAAGTGACGGTAGATCATTTTGATACTTATTCCTTGCTAACAGGATCTCAACTCTTTTGGTTCTTCCAGCTTCAGCATCTATAAGAGATTATTCACCTCCTAGGCGTTCACATAACCTTCTTGTGAAAGGTTTATATGGGTCAGATTGAAGGATTTTCGGCTAAAAGTTTGAGAAAGTAAAACGTGAAAGTGACAAATCTCATTGTGAGTAAATCAAGCACCAAAATGATGACATGAAAACTTTGATGAATTTATAATGGAATATGCATTTGTGGTTAATAATATCTGTCTCTCTATATAGATGACATCTTTGGAACTAGACTTGAGATGACTAGGACTTAGCAGAGACGGATATGGTGCTTGAACTGAAAGTACTTTGAACATACAAAGATGTAATACTTTGAACATACAAAGATGTAACTTCATGTCTCTCAGACTACGAAGAAGATGTTGAAGAGATTCAAATCCTACCATTGTGGACCTATAAGTATACTATATGATAATTTCTTTGGTGGTAGAATATAACTGCAAATATTCACAATGTAATCAATCGCTGTTATGTGTCATTTCGGGCTATAATTAATTTTACTCTTCCATGAAAAGGAGATTTACTAGTAACTCCAATTTTCTTTCCTCAAAATTCGCTATTTTCATGAGTGATAACCCACAAGTTTATACATTTTAATTCATTTCGAACCAATGGCAATTAAGTTTCTTTCTTTAAAATTTATAATTTTTATGGGCTATAATCCATGATTTTTTCAATTTTCATTCCTTTCAACCCAATGGTATTTTTGAAATTTATAATTTTTCTTTCTTCAAACTTTACAATTTTTATGAGCCACAATGCACAACTTTTGTCAATTTTCATTCCTTTCAACCCATTGGTATTTATAATTTTTTCAAAATTTATAACTTTCATGGACTAACCCATGATTTTTGCCCATTTTGTCTGTTTTTACCTAATAGCAAGTAATTAGGCATACTTCAATTGCAACATTCATATGCTATAATTTTTTATTTTTCTATCCTATTACATTCATTTCGAGTAAATAGCAATAGTTATGTGTATTTCAAAAAACGTGATTTTCATCGGTTATAACTCACGATATTTGTACATTTTCATTCATTTCAATAAATAGTAATTAAGTTTTCTTTTTTTAAAATTTACAATTTACATGGCCTATAATCCATAATTTTTGCAACAACTTTCATTCCTTTCCATCGAATGTTGTTTATAACTTTTCTTTAAATTTTAGAATTTTCGTTGACTGCAACTCGTGATTTTTACCCGTTTTTGTCTGTTTTGACCAGATAGCATGTAATAAGGCATACTTCAAAATTTACAATTTTCATATGCTATCACCCACAATTTTTATCTATTTTTCATTCATTTTGTTCAAATGACAATAATTATGCATTTTTAAAAACACTTGATTTTCTTGGGCTATAATTGACGATTTTTTATATTTTCATTCATTTTGAACCAAAAGCAATCTAGTTTTTTTTTTCAAAATTTTACAGTTTTCATGGGCCATAATCCATAATTTTTAACAATTTTCTTTCCTTTCGACCCAATGTATTTATGATTCTTTTTCAAAGTTCACAATTTTCATGGACTAACCATGATTTTTGCTCATTTTTGTTTGTTTTGACCTAGTATCAAGTAATTAGGCGTACTTCAAAATTTGCAGTTTTCATATACTATTAACCCATGGTGTTCTCCATTTTCATTCATTTGGACTAAATAGCAATAGTTATGTGTATTTCAAAAATCGCGATTTTCATGGGTTATAACTCAAGATTTTCGTACATTTTCATTCATTTCGAATCAATAGTAATTAAATTTTCTTTCTTCAAAGTTCACGATTTACATGAGATATAATCCACAATTTTTGTCCATTTTCATTCCTTTCCACCTAATGGTATTTATGATTTTTCTATAAAATTCACAATTTCCTTGAACTGTAACTCATGATTTTTGCCAATTTTCGTTTGTTTTGAGCTGATGGCTAGTAATTAGGCATTTTAAAATTTGCAATTTTTATATGCTACAACCCACAATTTTTATCTATTTTCATTCATTTAGACTAAATGGCAGTAATTATGCATATTTAAAGACACTCGAATTTCTTGGGCTAAAACCCACGAATTTTGTACATTTTCATTCATTTTGAAAAAAAAACAGTCAACTTTTCTTTCTTCAAAATTTACGATTTTTATGGGCTATAATCTACGATTTTTGACAATTTTTCTTTCTTTCGGCCCAACTGTGTTTATGATTTTTCTTCAAAATTCACAATTATCATGGACTATAATCCAAGAGTTTTGCCATTTTTTGTCTGTTTTGACCTAATGGGAACTAATAAGGCATACTTAAAATTTGCAATTGTCATGTACTATTACCTACGATTTTTATCTATTTTCATTCATTTTGACTAAATAGCAATAATTATGCATATTTATATTCATTTTTATCTATAACCCATGACTTTTATCCATAACCCATGGTAATAGTTACTGGATTAGGACCTCAAGTAAAAAACTGATTGGAACCGTTAACAGGAGAAATTTAGTGGATTATCTGTTGATATAAAATTCTGAAAAAAAAAAGGAACCTATGAAGGTCATAACTTTTTGTTGAACTTCTATTGGAACTCGTTTTGGGATAACTAGTTATTAGTTATTGATGGTGTAAATGTCTACAGAATATTTATGTTACTAGATATTTTCACACAACAGTTTGATTATTAACTTGATTTATTAATTTTCAATTACGCAGTTCTTGGACCCTGCAAGAGAAATGGCTGTGCTGATGACAGAATAGAGATAAATCTGAGCCTCAAAGGGAAATGGGTTGGTTGATTACAGAAATGCGATGAATACCTGAATCATTTGATAACATAAGGGATGTCTCTATGGCTGTTGCATCATAATGTATTTACTTGGCTTTCTGATATGTCTGCATAATGAGGGTGTCCTGCTTTCCAGTTTAATACGCACAATAGATTCCTTGATAATACGTGTACGAACAGTGTGTCTTGAAAATTATGGGTAAATGCAGAATTTGTAGCTTTGGTGTTTTTCTTTTTTCTCTCACCCGCATGACTTTATCAAAGTATAAGTGAAGTTTGATCTTCAGTATGTAGCTGTACATCCCGTTGTATGTCGCTATGCATTCAGTATTCTGTTTTGGGTTTAAAGGCAATTTATTTTTGTATTTTGAGGGTGTGAGAACATATGGATATGTGTGGGTAAAACTTCCGGTTTGTAAGCAAAACCTCCATTATATATATGTTAGATATCCGGCTCTCTTCTTGAAAGTTGTACATCTCTTCTTTATGAACTGCCATTTTCCATTTAAAAGAAGTCAGTGGGTATTGGCTTGACTTCTTATTTTTACATGTGGATTTTGCTTATAAAGTAAATGCGCAAGAGATCCAGCGCTCTTCTTAAAACTTGATAGTCTCTCCTTGAGTTTTTTTTGGACAATATAATTACTGGTAAGCTCTCCAAATTATCTTGGAAGAGATACTGCTCTCTGCTGAAGCTGAAGATCGCAGCTTCAAAGACGAGCAAGCAGATCTCACCGGGTCCTCACTGAGTTCCCTGGAGATTCTCCTACCCGATGCTCCACAAAATTTGTCGAAGCTTTGCCTTCATCATCCAGCAGCTCTGTCCTGAGCTCACACAATGCCGTAAGGTTCTTCTACTTCTCTCATTTGCTTTGATCACGATCTGTTGATATCACTAGATTTAATTTATGAGATTCGTGAAAATTCGCAGGTATTGGAATGCTCGTATTTGATTTTTCGTCTATGCTGATATCCATTGCTATCTTATTAAGAAATCAATTAATTAGTTTTTTTTTGGGTTTTTGATTTGTAGGTTCGCATTGTCTATCTGGTCCTCGGAGCCCTTGATACCGTTGGTATGATCAAATTGCCTGTTCTGTGTTCTTTTTATCACCGCATATATTTATGTCTGCGTATATAGATATTTAGGGTCGTATTTGTAAGACATTTATCTGTTCACTGTGCCTTGATTGAAAGTAACAAGTATTGCTACTAATAAGCCAAAAGTCTTAATATTGTAAATTAATCCATAGATATATTTTGAATCATGCTTGTTAATCTCTGTAGTGAAATTTTCATTTTTTCCTTTAACTTATAGGTGGTATTAAAGACTACACAGTTCTAATGGATAAATTCCATAATGTTTCAACTGCTTTTCTACAGCTCCTCAAAGGGTCAGTTTCTTCGCTCAGTATCAGTTCTCATTCGGCATTTCATCATAGGACTTTAAAGCTTTATTATTGATGTCGCATGATTTGCAGTAATACAGATATTTAAGTACTAAAGTAGTTAAAACAAGTACTAAAGTAGTTCTAATTTGGAATTGTTGATTTTGTTCCTTCTGTTTCATTGATAGTTTTTTTTTTTGCCCTTTTATATGCATCTATCTGCATAGGTTGATTATAATTTTGAAATTCATGATTTTATGACTATAACTCATAAATTTTTTATTATCTTTCTTAGTCATTTTGACCCATTGGAAAATAATTTCGCGCTAGATTTTGTGAGAATAACACATTTTTGGTCAATTCTAGTCATTACCATTCATTGATAAATAATTTTACGGATGCCAATATTCATGATTTAACGAGCTATAACCTATGATTTTTTCTATTTTAATCATTTGATCCATTGGTAAATAATTTCGCATTGGTCAAAATTCAAAATTTTATGAGCTATAAGCCATGATTTTTTTCTCATTTTTAGTCGTTTCGACCCATTGAGAAATAATTTCGCAATTGTTAAAATTCATGATTCCGTAACTTATAATCCACGATTTTTTTTGCTATTTTAAGTTGTTTCGACCCTTTGATAAATAGTTATGCAGAGGTTGAAATTCACGATTTCACGAGCTATAACTCACGATTGGCAATTTTTATTCATTTTGACTTATTAATAAATAATTTCATAGGGGCCCAAATTTATGATTTCGTGAGCTAATGCATAATTTTGACTATTTTTAGTCACTTCGACCTATTGACAAATGAATCCGTTGTGACCAAACTTCACAATTTGGTGTGCTATAACCTATAATTTTTTGCCATTTTTTTTCAATTCTTGACCCAAGGTAAAGATTTTTCAGAGGCTAAAATTTATGATGTTATAAGCTGTAACCCATGATTTGTAGCTATTTTTAGTCATTTCTACCCATTGACAAATAATTGGCAGATGTCAAAATTCAATGAGCTATAACCTAATATTTTGGCCATTTTTAATAATTTTGACCCATTAGTAAATAATTTTACGAATGCCAAAATTAATTATGAGTTATAACCCGTGTTTGTTTTTTCTTTTTAGTTATTTCGACCTATTGGCAAATAATTTTACATAATCAAAATTTAGCATTTCATGAGCCATAACCCATGAATTTTTTATCGTTTTTAGTCATGTTGATTCATTGGCAAATAATTTTATAGTTGCTAAAATGCATGATTTTGTGACCTATAACCAACGATTTTTCTTCATTTTAGTCATTCGACCCATTGACAAATAATTTCACGAAGACTGAAATTCACGATTTCATGAGTTGTAACTCATAATTTTAGCCATTTTTACTTGTTTCGACTTGTTAGCTAATAATTTTGCGGAGGCCAAAATTGATGATTTCATGAGCTATAACCCATGATTTTTGGCCATTTTTAGTCGTTTCTATCAATTTGTAAATAATTTCATGGATATTAAAATTCACAACTTCATGAGCTATAATCCATAATTTTTGGATATTTTTAGTTATTTTGACTCGTAGACAAATAATTTCATCAAAGACAGAATTCACGATTTCATGAGTTATAAGCCACGATTTGGCCCTTTTTAGTCATTTTGACTTCTTAGAAAATAATTTCGCCATGACTGGCATTCACGATTTTGTGAGTTATGACCTATGATTTTTGTTGGAGGTCAAAATTCATGATTTTATGAGCTATAATCCATGTTTTTTGGCCATTTTTAGTCGTTTTGATCCATCAGCAAATAATTTTGCGGAGTTTAAAAGTCACGATTTCATGAATTATAACCCACCTTTTTTGGTCGTTCTTAGTTGTTTTTACCCAAGGGAAAAAATTTCGTAGAGGCTAAAATTCCTGATTTCGTGAGCTATAACTCATGATTTTCGGCTATTTTTAATCGTTTCAACCAATTGGTAAATAATTTTACCGAGTCCAAAATTCACAATTTCATGAGCTATAACGACATTTTTTATTTCCTTAGCTATAACATATGATTTTTGTCTACTTTTAATCGTTTCAACATATTCGTAAATAATTTCACTAAGTCCATAATTTCCGATTTCATAAGCTACAACTCACAATTTCTAGCCATTTTTTATTATTTCAATCTGTTGGCAAATTATTTAACAGATAATAAAGTTAACAGCATGAGCTATCACCAACAATATGTAGCTATTTTTAGTCATTTTAATCCATTTGTACATAATTTTGCGTAGGCCAAAAAGTCATGAATTTATGCCCTATAACCCATGATTATTAACTATTTTTAGTCGTTTTGACCAATTAGGAAACACTTTTGCGAGCTATAACTCATGATTTTTTAACCTTTTTTAGTTGTTTTGATCCACTAGGTAGTACTTTCACGATTACGAAACAACCCATGATTTTTGGCTATTTTTAGTTGTTTGGACCCATTGGGAAATAATTTTGCGGAGGCCGCAATTCACAATTCTTTGAGTTATAATCCATGATTTTTATTAATTTTTAGTTGTTTCGACCCATTGGCCGATAATTTCATAAAAGTCAAAATTCATGATTTGATGAGCTATATAACTCATGATTTTTGACCATGTTTAGTCATTAAAAGTCATTGGCAAATAATTTCACAGAGTCCAAAATTTATGATTTCATTGTTATAACCCACGACTATAAGCTAGTTTTAGGCATTTTAACCCATTGGCAAATACCTTCGCAAAGGACAAAATTCATGATTTTATGAGCTATAACTCATTTTTTTTAGTCATTTTGATCCATCGGTAAATAATTTTATTATAGCAAAATTTTATGATTTCATGAGCCGTAACCCATATTTTTTGGCCATTTTGGTCATTTCGACGCATAGTACATAATTTTACAGAGGCCAAAAATCATGATTTTATGAGCACCAATGCTTGTTTTCCACTTTTAATTGTTTCAACCCATTGCAAAATAATTTACGCTGGCTAAAATTTATGATTCTGTAAGATATAACTTACATTTTTTTGCCATTTTTAGTCATTTTGACATTTAGGCAAATAATTTCACGATGGCTAAAATTCATGATTTCACAAGCTACAACTCATAATTTTTAGCCGTTTTTAGTCTCTTCAACTCATTGGCAAATAATTTCATAAGAGACCAAAATTTATGATTTTATAATCTTTAACCCATGATTATTAGACATTTTTATTAGTTTCGGCCCATTTGTATATAACTTTGTGGTTGTGAAAGTTTACTATTTTAGGAACTATAACGCACAATTTTTGGCCATTTTTTTATCATTTTGACTCATTGGCAAATTATTTATGGAGACCAAATTTCACTACTTGATGAGTTAACCCTTGATTTTTTGTTATTCTTAGTTGTTTTCACCCAAGGGAAAAAACTTTAAGAACAAAATGTATGATTTCATAAGCTACAAGCCATGCTTTTTAGCCATTTTTAGTCATTTTTGACACATCGGCAATTAATTTTATGGTGACATAAATCATGATATTGTGAGCTATAACAACTATTTTTGACCATTTGTAGTCATTTTGACTCATTGGCAAATAATTTCATGGAGGCTAAAATTCATGAATTCAAATATTATAACCCATGATTATTGGATTTTTTTAGTTGATTCGACCCATTGGTAATGGTTTCGCAATGGCCAAAATTCACAGCTTTATGATCTATAAAACATGATTTTTGGCCATTTTTCTTAGTTTTGATCAATTGGCAGATAATTCCGTGGAGACTAGACTTCACTACTTCATGAGCTATAAACAATAATTTTTGACCATTTTCAGTCATTTTGACCTTAAAATTTTTGTAGAGGCCAAAATTAATAATTTCATGAGGTATAAGCTATGATTTTTAGCGATGTTTAGTCATTTTGACTCATTAGTAAATAATTCGTGTGTTCAAATTTTCATGATTTTACGAGCTATAACTCATATTTTTGCTATTTTTAATTGTTTCGTCTCGTCGGTAAATTATTTCATGGAGGCCAAAATTGACGATTTCATGAGCTACAAACCTTGATTTTTAGCCATTTTTAGTGGTTTC